ACAATTCTTCAAGAACAAAAGTAAGACCTGAGTTTGCCGTTTCAGAGAACAAGTGGGCTGATGAGCTAACTAGGAAAGAACAGCAAAACAAGAAGATTAAGAGACAAGCAAGCAAGTAACAAAAGAAAATTGCCATCTTTTCAAAATCAAATTTGAAAGGGAAAAAAACAAGGCAGTGAAAAATTGGCAAATAGAACATGGAAATTGTTATGAATAATGAGAATTATGCACAATTTAGTGGGGAAACTCACAAATAAAGTAAATTAAATAAAAATGTGGGGAGAAAGGTCTAAAAAAATTACTGTATTACAGGTATATTTAATAGGGGAAAGCAAACACACACACGAAAAGTAAAAGGGAAAGGCCACAGCGCTCTACCGATTTACAAAACTGTACTAAATCTAGGCACTGCCCAGGCTGATGTATAACAACTTTTCTACAACAGAGATAACAAAACTAAGAATAGAAGAAGCAGGGTGAGGGGGAGAGGGCAGACAACAACATGACACGTGACACAAGAGGGGGAATAAAATCACTGACAACAAATCTTTAGGGGATAGCAAGATACTTAGTATTTAACATCCAGTTACACCTAGTCACTTTCTTCTTCCCAAGGCCCACCATAGGTCCTTCCAGTTTAATAGATTCCTGGTCTGAAAAAAGTTTGAGCCATTTTTAAAAAAACAAACAAACAAAAACAAACAAACCAACAACAAAAAAACCCCACTGTTTTGCAGTCACCCTTGTACCATCTCCCCTAAAGTAAAAATATCCTACATACCAACCACGTCCCCCAAACCACCTCCTTTATCTGATGCCCTGAAGCACAAAGTGTCACAAGAGTATGATTAAGGCATAGCCTGGCAAGGCCAAAGAAAACAGGTATGCCACAAAGTGCAAACCCACAGACTGTGCTACTGAGATCTATCATTTCACAAGCAGTTGCAATATTCTCCAGTTTAGCACTGACCAAATATGTGCAATGGCCCTGCAATGTCATCACCCACCCCCAGTCTGGACCCTTTATTTGAAAGCTGCTTTGAGGGATTCAGCGCTTCTGTATCACCGTAAACAGCCAACAAATCCAAGAAGGGGTTTAACATTCCTTGAATTCAAATACTAGTACACACCTTGTATTAAAATCAGTTCACTTTTGTTTGTTCCAGAAATAAGCAACCCCTGATACATGTAATTCAGTATTAAAAGAATGTATCGTGTTAAACGCAATTTAAATACAGCTCATTAAAAAATTACAAACAAGTAGTGGCTAGTAAAACAAATACTTGGCACAAATCTATTGCCCATTAGGGGATAAAGCTGGTAATCTGTATTTACATTCTTCCAGTGTTTTTTCAGAGACACAGTGGCCATGGGCAAGTCACTCAGGCTCAATGTTTCACCTAAATTTGCATACCTAATCCACACCAGCACCAGTATGTCCTTGTCACATTTTATTCACCCATAAGGTTTTGTGAGATGTTACTTGAATCACATTCTTACATACTTCAAAAGCAAAAGAATTAATGTTTTGCTACAGCAATTAATATCATAAATGTGACTTAGTAGCTAATTCAACTTCAGTTTAAAATATCAGTAAATCAGTGACTAAAAGTTTGTTCCTTCAGGCATATCTACACAATTCCTGAAACGTATATTTTCACAATTACTTCAGTGCAAAAGCTGTCTGTAATATGTCTCTAAAAAAAGAAGAGTGTTTTCTGCCAAAAGAGATGCTTTTAAGGAAAGACCTAAATTTCTTTTAATAAACCCTCAATTCACATGCACCACCTGCTCAGTGAATATAATTTCCTGCGAAGAAACAAGTCAATTATATGTATGATCTGAGGTCTTCAAAGCTGCCTGGGAGAGTGAAACTGCTCATTCCGGTGACAGCTGTGGGCCACAGTCCTCTGTGGCAGGCTTTGAAAAAAAATCTCAGCTTTACAGAACAACTGGCAGTAAAAAATTCTCATTCTCTGCAAAGTCTCCTGGATATTCAGAAATTTGTCATGTGCCTGTAATGCAGTATATCCAATACAGACGCTGCCAAAGCACTACAGAACTCAGAGGGAAAAGAAAAAATGCTTTATTATGGAGACAACTATCCTCCCTATTGACTTACCAATACTTATTTTCCAGTTTAATTCTTTACTGTTCACTAAAGACACTACCAAAACTTGGTGAAGTCCAGTGGTAGCTTTGCCATGCACACTGCACTTCCGTGTCCTTTTGCTGTCAGTCACTCAGTTTTATGATATGCTGTATATAAAAACTTGAATTGCAGTTAAAAATTGAATGAACCTAAATGAAGAATGCGTACAGCAGAAGTCTTCGAGAAGGATGACTGATAGGCATGCCACAGAGCATTTATTCAGCTACTAAGTTGTGACACATGCTACAACTATTGTATTGCACTAGTTTTCATATAATCTGTTGGTATGAATATTGCATTCCATTACTCTTCATATAAATCCCCAGCCAGGAGGTCCAAGGAAGTAATGGATTCATTGTACACCTTAAGTCTGCAACCATCTACATACTATTGGAAAATAAACTGGCTGGAGCTCTGCTAAGAATCACAAAACTAAAACAAAACAAATTTTTTAAAAGTAAACAAAAAAAATCAAAAGCTCTGAAAGATTCAACACTCTCCCCTGCACAGAGACAGTATCATTTGCAGCCACAGAAGCCCTTTCAGTTACTTCAGAAAAAGCCCAGCCTGAAGGAAAGGTGATGACACACTCTGTAGTACTTAACACACAACCCTACACCAACTTGCTAAGAAAGAGAACATAAACAGAATTTAAAATTGGCTATGAAAGAGAAGAGAACTTAGGACTTCTTAGGAAGTACAGGTTTATTTCAGCTTGGTGAGATGTCTGGGAAAGACTATTTTTTCAGCTTTGCCCTATTAAAAAAAAAAATTTTCTTTACAGATGCTGTAAAGTAGAACTGAATTAATAAGGTGGATCAAGAACTGGCTTTTCTCAACCTATTCCTAGATTGTTTAATATCCCAGGTAACTTATTCTCCAGACCATATAAAACATGGGATGGTATAGCAGGAATCCACCATACCCATACACTGAAGTGCAAGCTCCTCAGCAAAATCTGAAATACAGAAATGCAGTTCTCCCTCATTACTAGGGACTAAAACTGCCTCCTGTCTTCCTCTGTAACATCTCATGTGGATTTGAGTTCTCCAATTCAAAGCACACAAAACAACTATTTCAGATTCAATCCAGGACAAGCAGAATGACTGCTAAACATTTCGAGACACTTGAACTGGGATGTAGCAAAGGAACAGTGATAGTGACATTAATCTGATGGCTTCCTGACCATGGTTCAAGACACAATGACAATTATTTGCTACTAAAACTTTGCCTCATTCAGAACACAAAACATGTCTGCTCTGAGGACTCTGCAAAAGGAAGGGTTATAGTCTATAGATCCCCTTATCCTGCTTATTATGTAGATAATCTGCTACAATAAATGTGTTAAGCTAGTTTACATGTCTGAAAGATCCCCTGGAGAAATGGCTTCATTTCTGCTATGCGGTTCTTGTGATGCTGGTTACTGTCTTCTCCTGTCCTCCTTTCCCTGTTGAAAAACCCAAGACCTGATCTGTGGAAATACTGCCACCCCAGCCAAGCAGAAACTGTCACCCAAAGTGGTGAAATGTATTCTAGAAAAAAAAAAAAAAGAAAAAATCTAGAACTAAGTCTCAACTTCAACATCCAAAATTAGTGGAACTCACTCTGCCTAAGCTCCCCACCTGCACAAGGAGAGTAACACCTGCTCCTTGCTATGCTGAAGCCATCAGAAAACACTTTAACTAAAATCCTTCTACTCAACAGAAGGATGAGGTGCTTAGTTATATTTGAGACAAGGCTTTGTTTAGCTCTCATGCCACAAGATTTCATCTTAAAATGCAAAACTTGCAAGATCAAGCCACGCTTTGAAGGAAACCACAGAGCAGGAGTGCAAGACAGTCATGGTCACACCATTGCTTTCAGTTAAGTAACAGGCACACAGTGGAGATTTCCCTCCCTTACCCTTTCTGTCAGTCTGCTTTAACTGGCAGCTGTCACCACTCCCACTTAGCAGGAGAATGAAAAGGTCCTCAGAAGAGGGAGTGAAACCATGAGTCACCCCTGGGGAGATGGCCCAAGAAAAGCTTCACAAAAAGGTGTACTTCTGGAGTCACGCCACTTTCCCCAGCAGCAAACACCTCTCAAGGAAGACAGTAGGTAGGCAAGTTGGCCAACCATCAGACTGGGAGCGTACCGCTAGTAGTTGTTGTTGTGACTACCGGAGTGCAGTGCGGGTTGCTTAGCAACATTTCTCAGTCCTTGCAGAGCCAGCATCCATTTCGGAGGTAGCCTCAAGGAGCAACAACACACTGGCGAAAGCAAGCAGGGGGTTGATCCACAGAACCTTCCTCCTGCACTCACTAAGGGGGAAGCTCGACATCGGAGACGCCAATTCCCAGCTTCATTTACTTCCGTTTATTGTACTTCCCACAGGGTCACCTTTAACATCCTCAGCCATACTGTGTCGGAAACACAGGCAAGTCTTACAGCATACACATGGTAATTAACATGTAAGTCAGACGCACTAAAGGAAAAGAATCAATCCTGAGAACTAGCAATCAGCAGATTAAGTACAACTTTTATCAGTAAACAGCTTGGCTGGCTTGGAAACTAGTTACATAAGAACAACATAACAAAATAACATTGTATATGTGGGGGAAACTAGCTCTGGAAGCTGGGACTCGGGCTACTTTGATGACTAAACGTTAACAAAACGCCAACACCACGCAGAACAAAAACACAAAACACTTGAAGCAGAACACACGCATGCACAAACAGCCCATACTGAGGTCACAGGCACTACAGGTGTACTCCCAAAAAGCACAAGGAAGACTAAACTATGAGAGTTACTTATGTACATTTTAAAAGAGCACTAAACGGATTTTAAGGAAAAGCACATCATGCATACCCTCCTCTTCTGTGGCGCTCCCTGTGCTTGGAGATTTTGTAAGGTAGAGACCTTTCTCCCAGGTTTTCTAGGTTCCTCACAACGGCTCCTCTCTCCAGAAGAGCCTCAACAGTGCGCTTCAGCACGGCTGCAGTCTCAGGCTTTGAAAAGAAAAAAAAAAAAAAAAAAGAGATAGCAGGAAATGTAGACAAACCTGGATATTCTTGTTATACGATTAGAAGGGACATCCGTACTTGCACATCTCAGCCCTGGAAAAGATCATTCTGCAACCTGAGAGGGTAATGTGTAAGCAGAAGCAGACCTCCCAAGGAAGAAAATATTTAATAAAACTAGACAATTTCTCTGTGGACTATAGCAAAAGCAAAGTTTCCATCAGTTTTGCAGCCAGGCCTCAAGGAAAGCAGGGAAGAAGAAACAGTTAATGGATTTAACTCACCTGATATCACTTTTGCTGACCCTTGGACAGATGCAAGTAAATATATATGGCAAAGTGCAGTTAGGAATTGGTAACAATTTTAAGGTCCCTGGACCATCGATGCTTATTAATATTATTCACCACAACTTCTAAAGTGAACAGTGTGAGGGGAACAATAATCCATGGCTTGCTACAGAGACAATAATTACCACCACATTCATTTTATGTAGTCATTCCAACTGCATGTGCATAACAGATATTTGGACCTTTGGCTAAACTACTGCACGTGTCTCATTACTTTTGCCTAGCCGACATCCAAGCACTTTTAAGAGTTAAGGGACTGACGTGCAGCAATTAGTCTAAAAAGCAGTGATTTCACTCCTTAGAAAAACACGTTTGAGGGACAGGCAGCCAGAAAACAGTAGGTAAAACAGATGCCACATTTTCTTGCTCACTGCATATCAGGGCTCTTTAGAGTGCTGAATCGTTTCAGTAATGACACTCAATAATATCTATGAAAATGTTAATAAAATACAAAATAGAATGTTTTGAAAGCCACTGCAAACCTACACACTCTCAGCAACAAGAAGTACTTTATTAAATGGATCTCCTACGGAGAAAGGAAACTAAACACATGCCCAACTGAGCACAAACCAAACCGTATTGCTTTCTTCTGCATTCCTTGCAACATTTCCTATCAACATATATTCCAGAGTCTAACTGTCCAGTGAGATGGCAGCAGCTATAAAATGGAAAAGTTATGAAAGAGCAGATTTTTGGCTTTATTCAGATTTTATGTTGTTAAATCTGACCCTAAAGCTGTCCCTTCACATCCAGAAGAAAACTCATGTAAGCCTTCAATCGCCTTCTGTATAAGATGGTTGAAAGTTAATCTTCTAAGTCTAAGGTAATGATGTAAGCCTTGACTAAGAAAAAGGAGTTTTTAATGTCCAGATCCCTTAACAGAAACTGGTGGAAAAAGTTGGTACCAGAATCTCTCAACATGCACTGAAATGAAATTTCTTTCATCTTCCTAAGGATACAAGGTGATATAATGAACGTTCTAAAGCACAGCAGAGATGTTCAGTGTATGACAGACAGCCTGAAATGCTTTCTGGTTTCCATGAGCTAACTGCCCTGTGGCAGTCAAGAGCCAATCACAGGATCACACCTACTGCTCCTCACTATCAATCAGAAATTTTATCTCCCTCTCTCCAGCTGCAGAAACCACAAAAATTTATTTTCAACACGAAGAGCCTAAACAGTTACAAGGTCATCAAACAATGTCTGGAGTGCAAATGTATAGGCCTCTCTTAAAAAAATAGCATAAAACCAATTCTGTAAAAATCAAAGGCACTCACGTGTTGATGATACAGCTGACGATGCTGTTCAGCTGTTGATGCTGACTATGTTAATATTTTAATTCTCCCCTTCAAATCTCTCTCTTAAGTACTTCTGCACACTGGATTCAAATGCTAGCAAGCGTCCCATTAATAAAAGCATTTTCTTCCACGACTGGATTCTTAGCCTCTGTATGCTCACATTTTGCATTACTTTGTGTCTTCTAGTATGATTGCTCGGTGGTGGGTGTGAGTCACAAGCAGTCCTCTCTCCCTCCACAAACCCGAGAAGGACAAACAAATACTATCAGAGAATAACTGGGAAGCAGCAGCTATGACACGAGTAGTTTGAGCAGAGCTCAAAGGAGTGGGAAGAGCGGCTGGGAAATCTCTTGACTGAGCTGGCAGAACTGAAGGTGAAGAACAGGATCAAGAAAAGCCAAATAAGGAGATGAGTAGTCTTCACAAAAGACTTCCCAAAAATGCCAACAACTAGGAGAGAGCAGGGAACAAAATCTCTTATTCTGTATCACACCCATGTGTTGCTTTGCCATGGTATAAAGTGTTCTTTCAAACCTCTTCTATCGGAGAAACATCAGTAACAGCCAGAAGAAGGTAGCAGCCCCACTCTACTTGACACTGTCCTCCGCACTCCAGAAATGTCAAAACACAAGGGGAGAGCGGGGAGCAGAGGCTCTTTGGTTAAGCCTTTCCCCATGAAGAATTTCCACCCAAGCTTCTTATGGCTTGTTTTAGCTCAACTTACACAGCACAACGTCAAAAGAAGCTGGGCCAGACTCCGGACAAGTTTTATGCTGCTTCCATCAACACGGGATCTCATTACTCAAACCCATCTAAATCAGGAGCTACTGGTGAGACAGCCTCCTTTGTTGTGAAGCAGTAGCTTCACACAGGCAAGCCAAAAACCAGGGTAACCGAGCTGCTAGTGATATCCATAGTTTAATGGTGTAAGAACCATACCAGAAATCTGGCTTCAAGAAAGAAGAGAAAAAAAACAAGAACAAGTGAATTTGTGACGCAGGCATCAAGGTATGAGTTGCTATCTAGAAGACTTTGCCTTTCAGACAAGAATCTGACATGAACCGTTAGGATTTTATTCACCCACATTAGTAAGGGAAATGAGTGGTTTTAGGAGAGAAAGGATAGCTAACCTAACAGCTTTAATGTTTTGTACGCTGCAGCGCTCCGATAGTGCTTCCAACCCTAGACTTGAAAATACACTCTTGGAAAGCAATAGGATCTGCCATTCAAGTCTTCTCCCACTGTGCCTACTGTATGTGGTTAGATTGCAGAAGCTTGCACGGTGCTCAATTATTGCAGGAGAAATCTGTCAAGTCAATGAATAAAAATACTTTTGAGTTTACTATCCCTAACTATTGTTATTTGCATAACAAAATGCTGATCCATAAACAGACCTCTGTTCAAAAGAGATCTTGATTGATTGAGACCTTTAGACAAACAGCTGTACATCCAGAGGTGGAGTTGTCTGACATACCCTTCTTAACAACCCTGCAGATTTAAGCTAAATGTTAATGGTTGAGCTTACTCCTCTACATCCCATCAAATGACACATAAGCTTTTTGTCTCTTTTATACATGCCAACAGATCAGCACATTCCCCGAGTGGCTGCACATCCAACATGATGTGCAGTTTCTAAAACACAATGAAGCCTAAGATCAAGTCCTATGTATTTAAAAACAAAGCAAAACAAAAAGAACAAGAAAAGAAAGCCACAGATTTCTGCATTAAGGATTGTAAAATGTTATGTGTTCTTGCAACCTCTCCACTTGTGGACTTCCTTTGAAAACATAAACTAATTGTTGGTTTTGAAAGCTTGTCACTGTAATCCCTCTCATTCTTCCTCTCCAGAAAAGATCATGGTTTATCATAGTTTGCCTAAAGCCATCAACCAAACTATATATAGGCTAGTCTTTGCTAACCATAACATCCACAGACACAGGTTCCTTGGTTTGCCTCAGAGCCAGACCAGCTGAGGACATAGGAAATGGTATTGCCTGGCTCCCAACCCAGGAGCCACAACATTTTTTCCTGAACAGCCAGCACCAATTCCAGTGCCACAGCAATGGGGGAGAGAAAAGCACAAAATGGAATCTGGTGCCAGGATATCCATGCTGGAGAGCAGGAAGAGCTAGCAAGATTGTGTAAGCCCTGGTATGCAATTCTACCTCTGGTTCCCCCTCCTGCATGCATAGGCAAGCCAGAGACCCCTCAACTAGCTTCACCCTTAGTGAACTTGGTGAACTTTGTTAGTGAACTTGGTTCACTATCATTCAGCCACAAGCAGTTGTTCTCAGAAAGATACAGCCCCCTATAGACCAAATCAAGACATAGAAGGAAGAGGAGAGAAGTCAGTGCAAAGCATCCAAGGACTATTGCTTGGAAAGCTGCCCCTGGAAAATGTAACTGAAGGACTGTTGTCTACAGATTAAAATTTCCCGCTCCTCTACCCTCCCACTTTTTAAACTTGCCCAGAAGAAACATGTTAAAGAGCATGTCAACCCTGTACCTTCTGGGCAAAGCAATCGTAGCAGAGGTACAGTACAAAACATACTTTATGTGTATCAGCAGCCTGCCCCACAGGTGAGGATTGCTGCAGCCACGTTGACCAGGCAGCTGCACCACCACGGAGGCCCCGCGCGGTTGTTGCCGGTGCTGCAGGAACTACGAGGATTGAGGTCACCAGGCACCTTTCCACAGAGTGCAGTCTGCTTTATTTAAAACTTCACTATTCCCATGAAGTTAAACATAGCCCCAGGTGTCATGCAAACCACAACGGAACATCATGCCTTAAGCACTTCCTCCATACCTCTGGCTTCTCCCCTTTTCTCCTCAGCAGTCTTTCAGCTTAGCACAATCATCACCCAAGTGAGCAAAAAGCTGTTTAATGCACAGCCTTCTTCAGCATCTCACCAGAGAGTGCAAATGGAAATGGATGGGGGTGCACCATCAATTACCACCCGGGATCAAAGCCACAAACGCACAGTAATAACGAGCAAGGACTGCGACAAAAAGCCAACAACCGTTTTTTTCAGGGGAAGCTGTATACCACCAGCATGAGTAAAAACCTTAGCACGTTTTATTAGTCATACAGAACTCACAAAGCAACCAGCGAGTGTATTAAGAAGAGGCAAACAGAAAAAAAAAAAAAATAAAGGGGGAATACTCTGATGACAATCTATGTTCTGTTCCACCAGAGGCCAAACAGACATGAGCTTGTCAGCTGTGAAGCTGCAAAGAACAGCTTAGAGACAGACCAGAAACGTGGCAAGGGCTTGAAATAAAGCTTTTGTAATGCTGCTGTCTCCTAAAAAAAACCAGGAGTCTTACGCCCAATCCTGAAGGGAAGGACACCGTGGCTGGAACTAGAGCCACGTGAAAGGACTCTGCACCACTGCCCAATTTTCCATCTCGTTAACTGGCCAGAGGGAGCTCAAGAGAGGACAAAGTCCAAGAGATAGAAAAAAACCCCAGAACTGGCTAAAAAAAGAAGCCTTCTCAATCCACCAAAGCTCCTCCAAAAAGAGTCTTTAGAGAGAGAAAAGGAAGCAGACACCAAATACTTAGTTTTAGGGCTAGGACTATACTCAAGTTCTTCCAACCACCTACTCAGTTCAACAGGAAGCAATTAAAGTCAGTGGGCACATCTCCTTAAATTCTAAACAGAAATCCATCATAATTAATTTGATTATCCCTTCAATGTAGTAGTAGTAGTAGGATAAAACCATGGGGCTTTTTATTGTTAAACAGTTACAAAAGGCTGTTCTGAGATTATTCACTGAGCTGGAAATGCAAGAATGCAAAATCTATGTTCAGAAGAAATCTGCAATTCAAAAGCAGCAAAACTAGGAGGGAAAAACCCCAACTCCTTACTGTCATTTCCTACATAATAAAATACTAGAAACTTATTCGAGAAAATGAAAAAAAAAAAAAAAAAACAAAAAAAAAAAACATATATTTGTGAACTAGCCAAGATCAACAGTGGCATGAGAACGAAGAGCTTGGCAGTGAGAAACAAAGGGAAGCCGGAAAGAGTCACTTAACTGTCACACCCTGGTTTAGTATACAAGAAGACACAGCAAACAGATGAAAAAATAATCAGCAGATTGAGAATAGACAGCAAGAAAAAAATCAGTGCTAATATTAGTAAAAAGCACAGCCAGGCATACAACACAGCAAGCAGCAGGCTTGTTCTGTATCTGCCTAGGGATCAAGCTTGAACTCCTGATGCAAAATGCAAGGCTGCAATTACTAAAAAAGCCTAAACAACACAGAACTGCAGCCCTACGTGGGGTACAACCACTGAAGGATAAACACTATTCAGAAAAGATCAAAATAAAGATATAAGCAGTAGATCAAGCAAACAGGAGATGTGGGGGCTGTGCTGCACCCCTGCTAAAAACAGCCTGTGTGTGACTGATGAGCACAATCAGGATGTCCAGAAACTGAGCAACAAAAATGTGAGGACTCTGGACACACGCCCGGAAGTTCAGGCCTGGGCAAGGGTTGGGAGGGATAAGTGTATGGAAAGCTGGACACTAGGTAGGGACAACGGTTCCTGTATCTATGACAGTACAATTTTCCCAGTATAGAATAAAGAATGAATGGGAGAAACCCAGGTGCTCCTGAACACGATAACCATTTTGTGTTTCCATCAAGCACTGATTAAATAAAAAGGCATGATACTAATCTAGAAATGGATTTGGCAAATAACAAGAAAGTTAAAGCAGGCAAGCCACCAAATAGAAGTTTAGGGGACTGATCAAGATTGACTCAATCTGAATTAAAAATAACAACCCATCTTCAAAACAGATCTTTAATTAGCATTTTAACAAGGTATAAGCCAAGGAACTAGCAACTTCACCTGATGCACATATAAGGCCCAGGGATTTGGATGCAGAGGAAGCAGTGACTTTTAAAGTCAAAATGATGCTAGTATCTCCTCTGTTCTAAAATCTACCTTTCTTCTTCAAAGAATCTAAATGCACCAATATATCTCTATTTTTTTTTAACTCAACATTTAAGATCAAAGGAAATCATTAAAGAAACGGAACTGAAAAGCAAGCAATACAAGTATGCTATAAATACCAGGTCACAGTTAACACATCAGACTCAATACTGAACTTAGCTGAATTTAATTCATTTCATAGAGTTGATACTCTTTTTACTTTCTAAGAAGAACTCTAGGTGTCTTTCAGGTCTGAAGTAAACAGCAACAAAATCCTCCATAAATCAAGGCCATTTCAAAGACTTAGAAAGTACTAACATAACAGTTAGCGACAACTTAAGAATCAATTAAACACCTTTCTTAAAATTCCATTTAGAAACTTAGCCTTTTCTTCCAAGCCACAATAAATTATAATATGGACTTAATTCCTGGTCAGCTAAAGGCCTACTTACCAGAAACTTGTTTAGACCAAGCTTGCAAGAAACTACAAGTAAGGTTTGTTCCTCTCATGACTTTTAGACGTGCATACGTTTACATTTGTTTTACATATTCATTAAGCTTAAATAATCAAGAGGGGGAAAAAAAAAAAACAAACAAACCACACACAACCATAGAGGGAGTTATTTTCAAACATCCTCTCTTCCTTGGCCATTGAAATGCCTGCACACACCCGCACGCACTCTTATCATTCCTGTTGTTTCCACTTCTGTTGCGTTTAAGATCAAAAACAGAACACTCCAACGAAGAGAACAAAAAGATCAACAGTAGGAGCAGAAAAAGGGGAAGATGAAAAGAAGCCTTTTCCAGTCTTGCAATACAGAAGCTAGAACCACAATCAAGGAGCCAGTGCTTCT